CAGCACCTTCAGCTCTAGCACCTCCAGCACCAGCAGCTCTAGCACCTCCAGTACCTCCAGCTCTAGCACCTCCAGCACCAGTAGCTCCAGTACCTCCAGCACCAGCAGCTCCAGCACCTCCAGGACCTCCAGCACAAGTAGCTCCAGCACCTCCAGCACCTCCAGAACCAGCAGCTCCAGCACCTCAAGCACCTCCAGCACCTCCAGCACCAGCAGCTCTAGCACCTCCAGTACCTCCAACTCTAGCACCTCCAGCACCAGTAGCTCTAGCACCTCCAGCACCTCCAGCTCTAGCACCTCCAATACCAGTACCTCCAGTACCTCCAGCACCAGCAGCTCCAGCACCTGTAGCTCCAGCACCTCCAGCACCTCCAGCACCAGCAGCTCCAGCACCTCCATCACCTCCAACACCAGCAGCTCCAGCACCTCCAGCACCTCCAGCCCCAGCACCAGCAGCACCTCCAGCACCAGCATCACCTCCAGCGCCAGCACCTCCAGCACCAGCAGCACCTTCAGCGCCAGCACCTCCATCACCTCCAGCTCCAGCACCTCCAGCACCAGCAGCACCTCCAGCGCCAGCACCTCCAGCTCCAGCACCTCCAGCACCAGCAGATCCAGCACCTCCAACACCAGCAGCTCTAGCACCCCCAGTGTCAGCACCCCCAGAACCGGCACCCCCAGACTCAGCACCCCCAGAACCGGCACCCCCAGACTTGGCACCCCTAGAGTCCGCACCCCCAGCACCACCAGAGCCCACAGCAACAGGCTGCGGAGGCGGCGAAGACGGCCGAGGCGGAAAACCAGGAGGGGTCTCCAAGCGCGGGGAGCGGCGAGTCGTCGCCGTGTCGTCAGCCGCGGGGTCACCCCCCTCAGCTGGGCCAGAGGTGTCAGAGGAGACCTCCAAAGGCCCAACCAAGGGGGGTGGGTCGACCTGAGACACACCTGAGGGAGCAGGACCCTACGGGGGGAGGGGGTCTACCGGGGGGGGACCTGGGACCAGGAAGAGGGGCGGCGGGGAGAGCGGGGAAGACGTGTGCGGGTGGAGACGGTAGAAGCAGACCGACTCGTCAAAAGTGACGTCCTGTGAGGACAGGACCCGGCACGAGACAGGGTGGTAAAACTGCCAGGGTGGGGCGTTGGTGGGGAAGCCAAGGAAGACGCAGCGAAGAGTGCGGGGAGAGAGCTTGCTCGCGGTAGAATCGCGAACACGGGAGAGCGCGCCCCAGACCCGAAACGCCGACGCATCGCCAACCTCCCCCGTCCAACGCAGTGTAGGCAAGGTCTCTTGCACAGAGACACGGGGCCAGAGGTTGAGCTGATGCGAGGCGTATCGGACAGCAAACGGCCACAGAAAATGGGGAGCAGCCGCATGGATCATGGAGGTGCGAGCAACGTCCATGACTAAGCCAATGCGGCGCTCAGCAATCCCATTCTGCTGTGGAGAGGCCGGAAGCGTGAACGTCTGGCGGATGCCCTCCGCACGACAAAAGTCCCGAAGGACGACGGAGGAAAACTCACCGCCTCTGTCAGAGTGCAGTCGCAGGACCTGGAGGTCCTGCTCAAACCGAGCGCTCAGCTGGCGACGAACAGCGATGATCCAGTCGATCAAAACACCTCGGACATCCGCCTTGCTCCGCAGGGGAAGACCGTGGTGTAGCGCGTGTAGTCGTCAACAACCAGCAGAAAGTAGCGCTCCAATTCCTGTCCACGGACGCGGGCTGGGCCCCACACGTCCATGTGGAGAGTCTGCAGAGGAGCAGTGGTCGGCGGAAACGAGGAGGAGTGAGGAGCGGCGCGCTGCCGCCCCTCGACACAGGGAAGGCACGGCGGTGCAAGCGAGCGCGGGAGCGGGGGCAGGGACCTGGGGAGGCCAGAGACAAGGAGACGAGAGTGCATGCCACGCAAGCACGGCAGGGAGGGGTGACCTAGACGGTGGTGCCAGAGGAGAGTCTGGTGCGAGAGTAGCTAGCATGAACAAGACGCAGCTAACTGACCCGACGCAGCTACCTGACCCGACGCAGCTACCTGTGCGGACTCAGTGGTCAGTGTGTACAGGCCAGACCCAGGGCTCCGAGTGAAAGTGGCGAGGTGGTCGCCAGTGCGTGAGTCCGTACAGATCGCCACAAGCTCACCCCCAGGAGTAGTCACAGTGAGTAACTGGTCCTGGAGGACAGCGTTACTCACCAAATTCTTAGAGAACGAGGGGAGGTGGAAACCTGTGAGGGAGCCTGAGGGGGCTGCCGGACAAGGGAGAACGGTGGAGGCACGTGCTACGACTGGGCCCCCAGAGAGGTTAGCGAGACTGACCGGGACAGGTGGAATGAGCGGTGTGACTGTGGTGCAGTCGCGGAAGAAGCAGCGAGTCGCGCCTGAGTCAAGTGTGAAGGTGTGTAAAGCCTCCACAGGTGCTGTAACAGTGCTACCAGGCTCACAGGCACCTAGACTAGAAACCTCTACACCAGGGATGCGTCGATGAGAAAAACACTCCCTAAGCTGCTGCGGCGAGGGGGTCTCCGGCTGACTCTGCTGCCTCTGCTGTAGAGGCTGGGTGGCAGGAGAGAGGGAGGAGTAGTGTCTAACAACAGCGTCGAACAAAGCCTGGGCCGACGTCACTTGTCGAAAGTGGTCCCTCTGGTCGACTGGCTAGAGAGATCGGACGGCACGTTGGGCAACAGCGTCGCGCTCCGTCCGTTGTCTGTAGGCGAGGCTGTCCGCCCGGTACCGCCTCTGCACGTCCTCGTCAGCGTCAGCAGCAGGCTCAGTAGGAGTCGTGGGGGCCGGAAGTGACCCCGACGTGTGCCCGAGTAGGGAGACGCCATCTCTGATGTAACACCGGAGATGCAAGCGCATGCACATAAGCCAGAAGTCGAACCGGTACGGGAGTCCGTCAGCGTCAAATGCTAAGACCGGTGGCGTTGCCATGACGGGCGGTGTAGTGGCGAAGGCAGAGCGTGGGCAACTAGAGCAGCGTGCTGGCAGCTAAGGCAGCGCGCAAGCAGGGCGGCGCGCGGGCTGCAGGGCAGGGCAGCGCGCAAGCTGCAGGGCAGGGCGACGCGCGGGCTGCATGGCAGGGCGGCGCGCGAGCTGCAGGGTAGGGCGGCGCGCAAGCTGCAGGGCAGGGCCACGCGCGGGCTGCAGGGCAGGGCGGCGCGCTAGCTGCAGGGCAGGGCGACGCGCGGGCTACAGGGCAGGGCGGCGCGCAAGCTGCAGGGCAGGGCGACGCGCGGGCTGCAGGGTAGGGCGGCGCGCAGGCTGTAGGGCAGAGCGGCGCGCGGGCTGCAGGGCAGGGCAGGGCAGAGCGCGAGCAGGGCAGCGTGCAGGTCGCGCGCTAGGCAGCAAGCGGGCAGTGCGACGGGCAGGGCAGAGCACGTGGGGCCGCGCAGGCAGGGCAGCGTGAGGAACGCTGTTCGGGCAGGGCAGTACGGCAGTTCGGGCAGTTCGGGCAGGTCAAAAATAGTGGTGGGCCCTAACGGAGCGGTCCTACGGAGGATGGACCCGCTCTGAATACCATGTCAGAATAGGAACGGACGAATGATGGACTAGGTGGGAAGAGTGAGTACAAGTACTGCCTAACCCTAAAGTGATGTACCCTTTAGGGTATGCCCCACTACAGCCTACAGAGAACAAATGCAATTTGACAGCGAGGAGGTTCCTGCGTCGCCTTTGCGCAGTGCTTGGAGATCTTTCTCCATGGTTGATAGTCGCGAAAACAACTGCTCGAGCGCAGCTGTACTTATCGTAGTTGTCGCCTCATTTGTCGCAGCCGGGTTGGCTTGTCCTTCGACCGTCAGATTCGTTTGGCCTCCGGATCCTCCGGCCATCTTGGTCTTGGAGCGTGTGCCGCTCGCCAGATCTTGGTTCGGCGAATTTTACGGAAGTGTTGTTGCGAAGAATCCCTGAGTAGCTCTCATACCATGTTACAATCCTAAATAGGACTTAGTGAAGGATCGTCTCAGAGTTGATCGCAGGTTGAGTTTGTTGCAGCGGAAGTATTGACCTCAGGTCAGAGTGAATGTAAATGACTGAGATGATAAAAGCATGCGTACATCGGGTTTATATAAAGAGTACAGGGAATACGAAACGACCTAGGCTAGCTGTGTACTCTAAGGGGTACATTCCCTTCTTACAGCGAAGTTCAACCGTGCGGCGCGGGAACCCGTTTCAAACATGTTCCCGCTCTTTTCACTTCAAATGCATTTGCCGGCATCGGTCTTGATCTGACGGTTGTTGGTGTCGCTTCGACTTTTCTGACTCCTCGACTTCGTACTTGGTAGAGTCGGCTCCTGCAGCCTACATGAATGCGTTACTCATTTTTCATATCGTAACAGTTATCTCTAGGCTGTAGGGGGGCATACTCTAAGGGGTACAACACTTTAGGTCAACCCTAATATTTGTACTCATCCTTGCTTCCTAGTCAATCATTCCTACGTACTATTTCTGACTGGAATACTGTTTATGGAGGAGCAACGTCAGCCAAGTTGACTCATCAGATATTTATTGTACAATTTTCACCATCATACGGACTTTGTCATTTTCACTATCATGCGGACATTGTCTAATAACGAGGATCCTGAAAGGTTGCTTCGACGTTCAGGGTTTTGCGGAGGATCAGGGTTCTGCACTGTTACACGCAAGGAACACACAGTGATGCAAGCATCAGCAGCCAATAGGTGCGATTGATTGGTTCCGTGGCGAAATATTCTTTAGCGGGAAACCACGTCAGTGCCCCGCGGCTTGCGTGGAGAGATCTCGTGCATATGTGGCGGTGCCGCTTGCAATTCGATCTCCAGATTCTCTACTCGCCAGCGCATGTCCCCTGGCCGCGCGAAATCAGTCCTGGAATTCTGCGAGTAGCAGCAGTCCCTTGCGCATCTCATCTCAACTCCCAGCAGCTTCGAAATCAAAGTCGAAAGCACAGATTCATTTTTCCACGGTTTTCAGTCTGGGGTTTAGCTCACCATACCTTGTAACTCTTGGATCTTAGCACCTCAACCGCACTCATGGCAGCCGTCTCGTCGACCTTCAAAGCCGCTGCCGCGGGCATTGCGGCAGAGACGCGGCTAGCGGCACCCGTAGCGTCCAGTGCGCGCACGGTCGGCCTGCCCAAGTCCTCCTTCTCTGGCAACTCGCTCAAGGCCACCACCTCCTCCCCTCAACATGCCGCCAGGTCCTCGCGCCGCTCGCGCGCGACACCCCGCGCACAGGGGAACATAGAGGGCAAGCCGACGGTGCTGGTGGCGGAGAAGCTGGGCAGCGCGGGGATCGACCTGCTGAAGAAGATCGCGAACGTGGACTGCTCGTACAACCTCACGCCCGAGGAGCTGTGCGCCAAGATCTCGCTGTGCGACGCGCTCATCGTGCGCAGCGGCACCAAGGTGACCCGCGAGGTGTTCGAGGCGTCGAACGGGCGGCTCAAGGTGGTGGGGCGCGCGGGCGTGGGCATCGACAACGTGGACCTGCACGCCGCCACGGAGGCGGGCTGCCTCGTCGTCAACGCGCCCACCGCCAACACCGTCGCTGCGGCGGAGCACGGCATCGCGCTGCTCACCGCCATGTCGCGCAACATCGCGCAGGCCGACGCGTCCATGAAGCGAGGTGGGCATAACGCTTGCACCGAATAGAATTACGCAAGTGACGTCCTAGAGTCTGAAGATTCTACCAAATGCACGAAATTCGCCAACAATCACAATCAAAGTCTCACGCACACAAATCTGGATGGGAGTGCTTTTCTTTTGCGTGCCCTGTTTCTTCTCGCGCTTGACGCATTTGTGCCTGACGGAAGAGTTTCGTGTGTCCTAAAACCCGACGATTTTTGTTTCACGACGCCAGTATTGCGGATCTCCAATTTGCGAGTGTGCCCCATTCTCATCATCCGATGCGTGTGTGTGTGTGTCTGTGTGCGTGCGTGCGTGTGTGCGTGCGTGCGTGCGTGTGGGCGGGCGGGCGGGGGGGCAGGCGAGTGGAAGCGCAGCAAGTACATCGGCACGTCGCTGGTGGACAAGACGCTGGCCGTGCTGGGCTTCGGCAAGGTGGGCTCGGAGGTGGCGCGCCGGGCCAAGGGGCTGGGCATGCACGTGATCGCGCACGACCCGTACGCGCCGGCGGACAGGGCGCTCGCGATGGGCGTGGACCTGGTGTCGCTGGACGACGCGCTGCAGCGCGCGGACTTCATCTCGCTGCACATGCCGCTCACGCCCGCCACGGACAAGCTGCTCAACGACGACGCCTTCGCCAAGGCCAAGCGCGGCGTGCGCATCGTCAACGTCGCGCGCGGCGGGGTCATCGATGAGGACGCGCTCGTGCGCGCGCTCGACAACGGCCAGGTGGCGCAGGTACGGCTGGTGGCGCAGGTACGGCTATGCACGTCGGCAGGCTGATGCGAGGGAGCCTTGCTTGTGCGGCGAGTCTTTTATTTTTGCCTCTCCGAGTTTGTGTGTACAATTTCTGTACAGCTGCTGTGGCCGTCACGCATCCTCCTCCCTCGTCTCGATCCGCCCCTGCTCGTATCTCTACCTGAAATCGTCGCGCCCGCTCATAATCGTTCTCCCCGTCATGCGTCGTCCTCCCGTTCCCCCAACATCCTCCCCATGCGCGCATCTCCCCCGCGCGCTCCCCAGGCGGCGCTGGACGTGTTCACGGAGGAGCCCCCCGCGGCGGACAGCGCGCTCGTGCTGCACCCCAACGTCATCGTCACACCACACCTGGGCGCCAGCACCACCGAGGCGCAGGTATGCCCATCGCCCTCGCCCTCGCCATCGCCATCGCCATCGCTCTCACGCATCGCCCCTCTGGAGGCTCCCTTACTTACTCCCCCTCTTCCCCTACCCCCTTCCCCCCCCGTTGGCGATTGCGCAGGAGGGCGTGGCGGTGGAGATCGCGGAGGCCGTGGTGGGCGCGCTGATGGGCGAGCTGGCGTCCACCGCCGTCAACGCGCCCATGGTGCCCGCCGAGGTGCGGGGGGGGGGGAGAACTGGGCATGGGGGATGGGCCGAGGCGGATGGGTTGAGGGGGAGGTAATGCGGGGGCAGCATGGGTGGTGGGGACTGGTGCAGTGGGAGCGAGTGCAGTGGAATGGTGGATGCGGGCAGGGAGCGAAGGCGGATGTCCACGATGGAGCCTTTTGACGTGCAGTGGGGCTTCTTGGGGGAGTGCTTTGGTGCGCATGCCACGTTGGCCCTGTGACTCGTGCTGCTTGGTGGCGGGTGTAAAGAGCATTCAACAGAGCGGGCAGCTGTAAAAATGATGCAGCAGAGGGGCAGGATTAAAGAGGATGGAGCAGGGTGCGGGGCTTGGTTGGAGAGCAGGCGAGGGAGAGAGAGCGTGAGGCTGCTGTGGGTGCAGTGACGCGTGCTGTGCTGCTTGTCACGGATTAGCTCAACTTGAGCCACGCAGCTACTGGCATCTGGCATGTGTGGCATGTGTGGCATGTGTTGCATGTGTTGCATGTGTGGCATGTGTTGCATGTGTGGCATGTGTTGCATGTGTGGTATGTGTTGCATGTGTGGCATGTGCTGCATGTGTGGCATGTGTGGCATGTGTGGCATGTGTTGCATGTGTTGCATGTGTGGCATGTGCTGCATGTGTTGCATGTGTGGCATGTGTGGCATGTGTGGCATGTGTGGCATGTGTGGCATGTGTGGCATGTGTGGCATGTGTGGCATGTGTGGCATTCAATTTGCGGGCTGATCAGCTCGTTCAGTACCACCACGCCCTCCAACAACTCGCTCAACTCCCCTCTCAACCCACACCCCCCCTCCGTCATTCCTCCCCCCCCCTCTTGGCTGCCCTGCCTGCCGGGGGAGCAGGTGCTGGTGGAGCTGGCGCCGTACGTGAAGCTGGCGGAGAAGCTGGGGCGGCTGGCGGTGCAGCTGGTGAGTGGCGGCGCGGGCGTGAAGGACGTGAAGGTGACGTACCGCACAGGGCGCAGCAGTGAGGACCTGGACACGCGGCTGCTGCGCGCCATGATCGCCAAGGGGCTCATCGAGCCCATCTCCAACGCCTTCATCAACCTCGTGAACGCCGACTACATCGCCAAGCAGCGCGGCATCCGCATCCGCGAGGAGCGCCAGCCCGTGGACGTGGACGAGTCGGTGCCCCTCGACACCATCGTGCTCGAGATCACCCACGTGCAGTCCAAGCTCGCGTCCGCCGTGAGCGAGGAGGGCACCATCACGCTGGGCGGCAAGGTGAAGGACGGCGTGCCGCACCTGATCCAGGTGGGGCGGTTCAGCACGGACATCGAGCTGGAGGGCAGCCTGCTGCTGTGCCGCCAGGTGGACCAGCCGGGCATGATCGGCACCGTGGGCATGCTGCTGGGCTCGCACGACGTCAACATCTCCTTCATGAGCGTCGGTCGCACGGGCCCCAGGAAGCAAGCGCTGATGGCCATCGGTGTGGACGAGGAGCCCAGCCGCGAGGTGCTCAGAGACATCAACTCCATCCCCGCCCTCGAGGAAATGGTCTTCCTCAAGCTCTAGGCGCCAATTTTACGGTAGCAAGGGATTAGTGTATGGAGAATGAGCTGCATGTGTAGAGTCACAGAATGTTGTGCATGCATCTCACACTCATACAGTATCAGCAGCATTCTGAACTGTGGTTGTAGGCTCTTGTATGGTACTGGTAGTGAATTTCACTTCCGTTCAGTTTCACAATGCTTACAACAATACCCGGGCTTTAAAGCCCGAGTCTAGAATGACAATGGTTCAATCAAGTTCCAAGATTCCTGAACATGATTTCGCCTAGGAACACGGTAACTCGCCTTTTGTGGTGCTCTCTCGCGATCCACTGTGAAGGGGTTTGAAGCGCAGGAATGTGATTGGCCAAAAGCACAGCAGCAAAACCACTGACGATCCTCGCCAGAGCAAGCAAAAACCGACACCACGGTTCACACTTGCAGAAACTTGAAACATGAAGCAACGGAACCGTTCTAGACTCGTTGGGTAGTAGGCTCCGTAGCTTGCAATATCGTCAACAGCCGAGAACTACGCCCATCACCCAGGACATTCCGACAGACTTATATTTGCATGGTATAGGTTACTCCGTCCCTCACGACACTCCCAATGTATCCGCTCGCTCGCGGTATGCGCAAGTATATATTGGGAACCATCTCTTCGCTGCGGTATCTCGTTCCCGTCGCTCCCGCTCCTCCAGTCGCTCTCGTCCCTCTAGTCGTTCCCGCTCCTCCCGTCGCCCTCGTCGCGTCTGTCCTGAGCGCCGCTCCCATCAGTCGCGTCCCGGTCGTGCCTTCTATCCCTCCTCCAGTCCCTCCCGTCGTTCCGGTCGCGCACGTCCCTCCCTTCCCTCCCGTCGCCCAACACCTTCCGTCCCTCCCTTCGCTCCCGTCGCTCACACTTCTGTCGCTCACACTCCCGTCGCTCACACTCCCGTCGTTCATACTCCCGTCGCTCATACTCCCGTCGCTCACACTCCCGTCGCTCACACTCCCGTCGCTCATACTCCCGTCGCTCACCCTCCGTCGCTCACCCCCCGTCGTTCACACCCCATCGCTCACACCCCGTCGCTCACACCCCGTCGCGCACTCACTCCCGCCGCTCACGAACTCCCGTCCCTCAACGCGTATTTAGGGCGCTCACACACTCAGGTCTCGAGCTCACACTCCCGTCGCTCATGAACTCCCGCGGTGCAATCAATAGTGAACCCCAACCCATCTTGAAAGAGCGCTCTGACTAGTTTCTCAAAGAGAAGATCGGGTTTGTTGCCATCAGAAAGTAGACCGTGACATGATCACCTCAGGAAGGTTCGCAGATAGTGTGTTGCAGCGGAAGTATTGACCTCACGTCAGAGTGAATTTGAAATGACTGAGATGATTAAAACAAGCACACACATAGGTTTATATAATAGTACAAGGAAAAACGAATCGACCTAGACTAGCCATGTACTCTAAGGGGTACATTCCCTTATTACAACGAAATCCAACCGTGCGACTCCAGACGGTTACGAACCTGTTCCCGCCTAAATCCTCGCTCTTGCAGCTGCCCGATGCTTCTGCTCCGACGGTCCAGATTCTGTCAACCGTACGAGACTCTTCGCGTCATTCCGACCTTTCGCCTTCGTACTCTTCGTTGTATTCTTCGCTTGCTACTGATAGGAGTGCACATCACTTCTCAATTTAATATTCGTAACACCCCCCTTCACTCCTGGCCGTAGCAAGTCTTGACCCGCTTGACCACTCCGCTGAGTTCGGAGCAGTGCTGGTACTGCTGTAGGAGCTCTTGTAGATAAAGCCCCTCGCGAAGTGCTGCTAACGCGGCGATGAATTCAGCTTCTGCCGATGACAGGGCAACCACTTCCTTCTTCTGCGAGTTCCAGGGAATGGGCCCTGTTGGCTCGAGGCGGAATAGGAACCCGGTTCTGGACCGTCGATTGTCGAGGTCTGCAGCATGATCGGCGTCCACGTAGCCGATGAGGTTGAAGGACGGGGTCGTGACAGTGGAGTAGCAGAGCCCAATGTTGGGCGTAGAGATGAAGAATTGCAGGGCGCGCTGAAGATCTAGGAGATTTTCAGCCGTTGGTTTGCGAGAGTATCGAGCCAACTGGCTCGCGATGTACGAGAGGTCTGGCCTGCAGGTCACCGAGGCAAAGAGAAGGCATCCCAGCTGCTGCTGGTAAGTGTGAAGGCCTGCGGGGGATAGGGCTTTGTTGTCAGATTTGTAGTTCGGTCCGGGTGTGCGGTAAGGAGTGGAGAGTGGTGCATTGGAGATGTTGAACCGCTTCTCAAGCGTTTCATCATATTTGGCAGCTGAGAGGTGAATGGCTTCTGGCGCGTAGGTGATGTTAAGGCCTAGGAACTACTTAACGTCATGATTAGTGGTGATGTCGACGCGCATCGCCAGGTTCTTCTCGAACTGGTCGAGCAGCGTGTTGCTCGTCCCTATAGAGCAGGTCGTCTACATACACGGTGAGCAGAATGTAGTCGCCGCAAAAATGCAGGCAATACATGCCTGGGTCGTGCGGCAGCTGCGTGAATCCTATCTCGAGTAGGATTTTGTGCAGGTGCTGCTGCCAGAGCCGTGTCGCTTGCTTGATCCCGTGAAGGGACTTCTTCAGCTGACACACGCGTGGGTCCCCTTCGCCGTAAGTATGCGGCTGCTCCACGAAAATGACTACGTCCACTAACGCGTAGAGGGACGCGTTCTTCACATCGATCTGGCGGAGGGTTAAGTGCCTTGCTGCAGCGATGGCGAGCAGAATTCTGACGGAGGTATGACGGCTGACCGGAACGAAGATCTGATCGAAATCGATGCTGTGCCTCTGATCGTAACCGCATACGACCCAGCGCGCTTTAAAGCGCTCGATCATCCCATCTGCTGCGGTTTTCACGCGGAAGACCCACTTCCCCGAAAGGACTCTCCTTCCTTTGATCGCTGCGCGGTCGACGAGCACCCAGGTATCACGTGACTCCAGGGCTTTGATTTCTACGTCCATGGCTTTGCGCCCTTCCTTGCTGTGTGGTCCCGTCAGCGCCTGTCGCGGGTTCTTATGTTACAATGTTATAAATTGACTTAAGGAAATGAGAAACAAGCAAGATATAGCAAGCGTAACCCTAACCCAAGGAAAACATAAAGTACACCTAGACTAACACAAATAAGCTATAACAAATATAGCTTGACACACCTCCATAGTCTAGGTGACGGTAGTCCTGTGGAAAGCAACACACAGCAATTGTCACAAGACCAGTTCACAAAAACACAACAAATCTCGGGGTGGATCTCAAGATCACCACACAGTCCGAGAACAATCAAGGGCCACAAGGCTAGTCCACATACAAGGATATAGCAAATTATAGAAGATGCAAGAGTACAAGACAAGCATCTCTACAGAAGCAAGGGGCCACAAGGCCAGTCCACATGCAGATATATATAGCAAATATAAAGTGATGCAAGAGTACAATGCAAAGCATCTCTACGCAAGCAAGTGAGGGCCTGTAGACACAAGGCCTAGCTGGGTGCAGAAACGCTGGTGGTCACAAGGCTGCAACGCCTTGGTGAAGATATCTGCAGTGTTGGCCTCAGAGACCACACGTACCACGCGGGCCTGGCCACGCTGCTGCAACTTGCGTAGAAGGAAGTAACGAAGCTGGATCTGCTTCGCCTTCCCAACCAGTCGGGGCTCCTCACACAACAGGACAGCAGATCTGTTGTCAGAGAACAAGACTGGGGGAGAGCGAGGCCGCTCACCAAGGTCGGTGCGAAGGAAAGACAGCCAGCGAAGCTCCTGAGCGGCCATGTCCGCAGCGTACTCCTCTGCCTCACAGCTGGAACTGGAGACTGACGACGCCCGAGTCGACCTCCACGAAACAGCTCCGGTCCCGAGACTGAAGTAGTAACCCTGTGTAGACCTCAGCGACTCTGCGTCGTCGGCCCACGACGAGTCCGAGTAACCTGTACGTGTAACTGGCTGCTTCCTTCCAAGGACAAGTCCCATGCCTGATGTACTCGCCACATAATTCGCCACCCTCTTAGCCGCGTACTAGTGGGAAAGTCGGTGTCTCCCAGGCGCAACAAAGCGCGCCAGGACGCTAAGAGGGTAAGCTAGGTCTGGGCGAGTGCAGGTCATCAGGTACATGAGGCAACCCACCAACTCAGGATATGGACCGCTGGACTCAAATGACTCGTCCGAAGGTGGAACCGTGAGCCCATGATCCACAGCAAGAGGGGTGAGCTGTACCTTGGAGAACGGGAAGCGGAACCGCGTGAGGATCTGCTCGACCATATGCGACTGCATCAGCGTTATGGTGCAAGCTGCCCTGTCCCTGGTGATCTGCAAGCCAAGGTAGCGCTGCAGCTCACCAAGGTCAGTGCAAGTGTGTCTCCTTTGCAGTTCCTCCTTCACGGAGGCCAGTGCATGTCGGTCGGGAGTGGCGAAGACCAGGTCGTCAACGTAAACAAGAACAAAGAAGGGGGTCGAGCCACGGCGGACGAAGAGCGACGGGTCAGCAGACGACGGAAAGAAGTCAAGCGCGGCAAGTGTCATGCGAAGTGTGTCGTGCCACTCACGGGGAGCCTGGCGCAGGCCGTAGACCGGTCGACGCAGATGCCACTGGGTCCCAGGAGGGAAAGAGCCAGTGAAGCCAGGCAGAAAACGCAGCCAGATCTGCTCGTGCAAGCTCCCCTGAAGGAACGCTGTGGAGAAGTCCAAGGAGTGTAACTCGTAGTCGTGCTGGGCTGCAACGTGCAGCAACACCCGAAGAGTGGTCATCTTCGGGGTGGGAGCGAAGGTCTGGAAGAAGTCTACCCCCTCGCGCTGACTTAAGCCTCTCGCCACATAGCGCGCCTTGAACACCGGTGGTGATCCAGGCGGCCGCTTCACCTTGTAGAGCCGCATGCCACTGACGACGTTCGTCCCAGGTGGTGGGACGGCGTCAACGTAGGTGCCTGTGGACCTATAAGATGCCATCTCTGCCTCCTCAGCTGCTATCCAGTACGAGGCCCAAGGTCCCGAGACCGCCTCAGCGTGA